CCAGATCTCCCTGGGTGGGGAATCTCCACTGAGGATCGTAGGTTCTAATACCAGTAAAAGACAAAGTGTGTGCGAGGTACGGCTTGTAGAGCTTATAAAGCTCATGTTATTGAAAATTGCATGTAAAGCCTAACGCTTGAGCGCACCAAATTGAAGACGCTGAGAAACCTGGATTGAGTTCGACGGTCGACCTGTATGGTAGGCTCCGATCCCGGCAGTCGGCTCTGGGAGAGCCTCCGCTGCGGGGGCTCGTCGCTACTACGCGTGTCAAGGCTTGAGCACGATAGGCTGAAGTATTTTGCAGTACTTGCATGAATGATAGGCACACGTCGCAGGTCAACTACCACCAAGCACTGCATGCAATGTGACCAGTATAGAGGTGGAGGTGTAGGAAACGAGCTTTAACTATCTGCCTCATGTCCGGAGCAGCTGGCAGCTCTAATGCAAAAGATGCCGCGCCACAGCATTAGATCACTGGTGCCATACATGCTACGCACTAAAATGTTAGTACTTGTTAATGTTAATCACAGTACGCAACGAACAAGGAGTAATAAACACACGATATGGACCATATCATATGGTGCGCCACAATATATAGAAAATGCAAGTGCACGTAAGTAAGCAAGATTGAGTTGAACGCACCTTATGTGAAAAACCAGGATGTGAACTGTGAAACAAACTAGCGTAGTGTGGATAGTAAAGAGCCCGCAGTAATTCATGCGAAAATGATTCAAATCGAACTGGTCAATAAAAACTTTGCATTTTTGCAGCCGTCGTCAGGCCATTAGTTGTCGCTTGTCGCGTCTGGGGTTTTGTCGCTCGCCCAGTGGGTCCCTCCCCACGGTGGCTCGCGGATCTGTCGATCCCCAAGAGGGTTGTTCCACCGAGCTCATCTGCTATAGCTCATTCAAGCATTTTCTCTTGATCATTATGTAACAGACCATTACATCAAGTTCTCACGTCACTGTGAGCACCTTTCTCTGGCGCCACAAATCGTTCATGTGATAGCTGTGCAAATCTCCTTCAAAGCGTCGAGTTGAATATGATCGACTGAGCTCGGAGTGCATGCAGTATCTCTACTAGAATCACAGCAATTGGGGATTTCGCTCGCTAGACTAGCATTATTCAGCTTGTGTTAGTCGCGTCACTATAGGAGACTTGAACAGGCGTCACAAAATCGCGTTTTTGCCAGGATTGGACGCGTACTGGATAGAACATCTCTTTATCCCAGTCAGGGATGCAGGAAGGTTTCTGTATCAAGCTGCATGCGTGCTAGAATCTCAGATGCAGTCTATTACTTATAGTTACGATTGTTTACAACACGTATCGGTGAGCACAATGGGTTGACAACCCAGGGTTGTATCGGCAGTCGTTCCTCCAAGGCATTAGACCAGGACGTGAGGCCTTCGTCGTCCACGGGGGCTACTAAAGAGGGTCATGCTGCTTGTTCGTCATTCGAACTGGTCTCAGCTTCCACAGGTAGTTCATTATAGCCGATTGTACTCTGCTTCTGAATTCCCATCCCTCAGGCGTATCATCGACACCGGGCTCAGAGTCTCCCTTCAAGTTACCTCCAATAGGCATCATTTGGAAGTGATACGCGATGCACTCTATGACACTGTAGACTTCTGTTCTTCTCAAGGTCATCGGTTGCTCCCCGCTCCGTCTGTCGTTACCATCGTAATGATGAGCATCCCGAAGTCCGCGCTAGCAAGGCTCAAAGTCGTCGTTCCACCACCTCCAAGGCTACGCGCCAGAGTAACATCTTCGACTATGATGCACTTTACCTTCTGTTCTTGTCAGGACATGGTAAGCGATCATCGTTGGAGAATCCCGGGTCGCGCTATCAGCTCAAATCCGAGCGAGTTGAGCGTCAACTGAGTTCCGCTCGGATGATGCCGAAACAACGAAGGGGCGGCGCTGGTGGACTCGTATGAGCTCTCCCTCCTCTGCAACCCGATGAGGCGGTTCGTGCTACGATATTCCATAGGTCTGAGGGTAGCCATCGAGCCAGTGATTTTGCCATACACAGACGGCAGTAAGAATCTTACTGTAAGATTCACTATTTCCTTGTCCTCATCCTCCGTGCACTGTGGGATAATACTGGTATACTCTCACTAGCTGGCGCCTAATGTATGCGTGAGTCCATCATATGGTCTGCATTCTCTACCTGGCCCAAGGCCCACACTAATTAGTTCCATTGTTTAGACCTTAAATGTACACTTGAGAGTACTCGTGACGCTGGAGGGTATTATCTCGAGCTTCAGGCTAGGGTACACAGCTCGGAGTGCAGCAGTTTAGGTGAATTTCCCTCGCTGAGCCGACTGGTGAGGCTTTTCAGATCGGCATTTTGGTCGCCTCTTCGCTTTCTTCATTCATTGCATTATTGAATCAAACCTCAGTGAGTTAAGTTCGATGTTTAATTGGCTCTCATTTTTTCTCACATTTCCCTACCGATTCCGGATGATCGCTATATGAGTTGGATTTAAGTAACTATCAGAGTGGATTTGAGTTCCCTCAAGGCGGAGCTCGATTCTCGTTGGGAGGAGTATCGATGACGTCTCGTAATCGAATTACGACAACCAAATTAACATTAATGATAAAAAATGCATGTTCTTAGAATGGTCGCCTATGTCATAAAAAGCTCAGGCAATTCTTAAAAACAGTCGGTGAAAAGTTGAAAAAAAGACATTTTTAAAAAGAAGTGGGCAAATTATCGAGAATTCAAAGAAAAAAGTTTAGTTAACCTGGAAATGCTGTAGTTATATGATGCTAGTGGAGCAGTCATATACCAAGAGTAACAAAAATAGCAATAGCACTGCTATTATTCCCTATCCATTGCCCAACTCGATCGGCCATTGATCGATGCCATTGATCTACGCCTACCTAAGGGTCGATCATCCCTCATCTTTTGACTCATGTACTCGAACTGTTGATTACTGGTCATACTGTAACGGTGGTCCACATGGTCCTGGGGGCCGTCACTCTCCGCGGTATCGTCAATCTCTGATTCCCTCATTCGGGCATCCACTGTGAGAAGAGAGATCTCTGGTACGCCAGCATGAAACCGAGAGAGCAAACTTCACCACAATGGTATTCGCCCACGAAATCACAAATGATTGCGAAAAATCTCAATGTCAGGCGAAGGCTTTCAGACGCTCTTTGCTGCGGTCCCTACAGAGGGGACATCCCGAGCCGAGCCGCTCGCTACATCGAGTACACACGCACATGTGCCGGCAGGGCATGCTTCTCCCTCCGTCGACTCTGAGCCTCGAGCTCAATGGCATGGCTTTTCAAGCGTCTGGTCTTTCCAATGAGCAACTCCATTCGTTCCTCGACGCCATGCCATTGAGCTGAACTCGTGGGGAACTCTGAACGGTGGAGAGCCCCAAAGGGTCGACATTCAATGGCCACCCTTCACCTTCCACTCCAGCGTTGTATGATAACAAGGCATCGTCAGCTGGTCCAACCTCGAGACGATCTCATGGAACGTATGAGGCTCTCTTGAATCCGTTGCTCTGTGGGAGGCAAATTCTCCGATGACCGTACGGCTGCTGCTGGTCTGTGGGTTCATCGAGAGGCTCAGTGAGGACCTTAGTGATACTAACTTGCAAAGACGGCACCTTCTCGCGGTCATGGTCAGCTGTAGATGAGGAAGAGGGGGAGAGCGAAGATCCTCCACCCTTGACTTCGTCTACAGCCTCTGCCCAGCTACTAGATGCTGCCCCATGGTCCCCAGTTGGCATCAACTCCTTTGTATGCCCAACGAAAGAGTTTTGCGATTTCACCCTAACAGTTCGCCTGACGCTGGATAGTAACTTTCCACCATTGAGGCGTTCTTACGAAGAGGCGCCCATTGCCAGAGACGTGATACCATCGTAAGCCTTCTTGTGCGGGGTTGGGAAAGGAGTTCCAACTCGCGGCTTGATGCCGAGTGGTGGAGCTCGGACCCTGGCTGCTTGGGTGTACCTTACTGTACTACAGCAAGTAGCCAGAGACCCGGGTCGGCTTTATACTCCAACAGGACCCTAGCAACCGAACGCAGCTCCCCTTCTACTGCTGGGTGCAATAGTGTGTATCTACCTCGACTCACAGAGGTGTGCCCAGAGGTCCCAATGAGCCTACCCAAAGGCATCTTGTACGATTGGGTCAGCTCCAGCATGGAGGAGAGCTCGAGCAGTGCCGGCCGACTTAGCAGAGAATAGGACCGAGCTTGGCCTGAATCCCTTCCGTGTTGCTCGGTGGAAAGGGCATTTCATAACAGCTACCCTTCAGCTCCCGCTCGGATGAGCTCCTTTGCCATATCCGCGTGGTCGGCTCTCACTTGGGCTGCCAATGGGGTCATCCTGTGACGGTTGAGCCCCTCAACATCAATACCTACAGAGAGGTGGTGACACACAAGGGTCACCGTCCTCACCAGGGTACTCCAACAACAAGGCCAATGCATAGGAGTTGTTGCATACATGCAGGACCAGGATCCAACCCCAAAGCTATCGTCAACCACCATCACCAGTACTACTACTCTACACTATTTCGAAGCTGGCACTTGCTTGCCAACAGCATCCTCACGATAGTAGCAGCGACCTTGCCACTCTCTAGTGACACGACCCGAAAGGACCCTTGATGGGACTCCTCCAAGCAAGGCAAGCCTACAGCGTAGTGGAAGGGGTTGTAACCACCGGTCGGATCCGAGTACTTCACCGTTGTAGGGTGGGCCTCAATGATAGCTTCGACCACTCCAGAATGCCCATTCCTACATATTGCAGGGCCTACTACCGTCATCCCATGGAGCCCCCCCCAACCTTGCAGCTTCGCAGAGGGCAATACCAAGGCCACTATCACTATAGCATCCCGACGACCTCAACAGGAAGGGATTAGCTTTACCACAGTCAGTGGTAACGACGGGTTAACACCTTGCAGGAGCAGCAGTTGCAAAACCAGACGATGGTTGAATCAATCGAGGCGGTTTATCGATACAACCTACATCCGTCTCGCCGCTCCTAGCAGCGATGAAGATGGCCTGTGCAGAAGCAGCCCCTAGCCCCTCCAAGCGCGATGAAGACGAACAGGAGCTCCGCACGGGACCACGGGTAGGTTTATGGCATGACTGAGTATCCTCCTTCTCGATCGATTGTTGCCGCATCAGTGTTCTTACCAAAACACACTCGGAAGGATATCCCTCCACGACTTGCCTTTATTAATATACTTCTAACACAGAGCTAGAGGACCTCACACGGAGTAACGGGCGGAAAGTTCAGTGGCAGTGAATGCGATGGGAAACAGAGGAAAGCGATTACAGGCAAAGCAATAGTCTACAAGTAACTGCTCGTGGGAAAGGTCACACTCTAAAAGTGGAAACCACCAGTAGGCTGCTGGTTAGTCGCGGACGAGCCTGACATACATTACGATATACCGATAATCTGTGAGGACATAAGATCTCAATGGTAGCGTTAATGACAAGCTAATAGAGTTGATAATGAGCCTCACAGTGGCGCTAGGGCAACAGCAAGGCATAGGTAATGGGCTCACCAGCGGTAGCAAAGCCAGTGTTGGTACTGTCCATGTCCTCTAGGCTACCATCCTCATCATCCTCTTCGACAGGGAAGTAACTCTCTAGTATATGCACAGCCTGGCACACAGGACCACAACAAATGCTGCTGAAACGCTACGAGGCTCTCAGCTTCACACGTCGACACACAGCTGTTACACTCGCCCAGTAGGTCCTACCTTCTCATAAATGACATCATTTTGATCAGCCTGGAGGTCCTCGATCTTTGTCATCCCATCGGCTTCCTCGATAAGATGGAGATACCTGTGATCAAACAGTCACCAACAACGCCAAAGTGCACCATACGGATTCTCAGCAAGGTCGGGGTTCCTCTCCTGGGCCAAGACTCCTACCTAACAACGACATGAATCAGGGAGAGCCTCCACCCCCTACTACCCTCAATATGTTGTCGATGCCCTCAAGACAGCATCCTACTATCTTGGTATCAGTAACATCAAGGAGGTCACACAGTGGTTTGATGCACCCATTCTGAACTAGGTAGTCGACCTGCTCTGGAGTACCCCCAGCAGTGGCGTTAGATACAGACCTAGAAATAACCTTACCGTTACTACTACTAGAGGGCAGCTCACCAGGCAGCTTCCTTCTTCACGTCAAACTCTGCGTTGGTCAAGAGCTCAATCAGCTTACCGAACATCTAAAAGAGCCATCTCTAGGTCTGTAAATGCCAGAGCGACCCCTATTACCCCACTATTGATGCACTCCTGTATCTGCTCCCTATTCCCTGCTGTTATGTTGGATATAGACCAACACGCTTCCTTTCGGAGGTTCTGACGACAAGGCAGTCCCATAGCATTGACAGAAGTTTCCCCACCTTTTTAGGACTATACAAGAGGGCATGAAGCGATGCAAGTCCACCGCAATTGAGGACCTGTTGGGTCTGATTATCATCGCCAGTGACGATATTGCCAACGGACCCTGAGGTGAGCCATCACGCCAAGTTCAGCCACCTCGTCTTACTGAGGGCAGGGGTCTGCACCAGAGAGCTGTCGTGCTTCAGCAGCTCTACCAAACGTGGACATGCACCAGTATCCAATACTGCTTGGATGCGCTCGCTAGGACCATCAGTGACGTAGGACAGAGCCCAGCAAGCGTCTGTGATAACCTCGACCTGAAAGCCATATCAACAGCTATCAATAGAGTGTAAGATGATTACGTCATTGCTATTGATGAGTTGAGAAAGGAGTGGTAGGGCGGGCGCCACAGCCTGGAGGGGCGGCTGAGGCTTCCCTCGGCACAAATTGGATAGAGCCCAAGTAGCGTTGCGGAAGAGCGAGAACTTGTCAGAGTCATCGTTGAACAAGTTCATCATGCCTGGTAAAACGTTGGCGTCCAGTACCTGTTACAAGTCCACAGCAGGGTGAGGGAGCCTAGTGGTACACTACCATATCCCGCAGTCTAGGGGAGTCGCCAGCGATGTTCCCCAAAGCCCACACAGCTTGCTCACGGACTTCAGCGTCAGGTGATCCCAACAGAGCGATGAATAGAGGGATGGTGCCTGAGCAGTAGGAAGGACTTCTACTACCAGGCTGAGGCAGAGGAACGAGTTCTTACCAGCGGCTACAACTGTTTCCGTCTGGGCTCGAGTACCACTAGCAATGTTGGTCAGGACCTACAGAGAGGTTTCTGAGCAGACAAACGCGTGGTATCATTACCCAGGCCGCTTCGAACTGAAGCTTTGGCCGCTGAGTGTCTTGCAAGAACGTCACCATACGTGGTACAACCCCAGCGTCGATGACCTACACCAAAAGCGGCTGAAACGTAGGGGATATAGGGCGGGCTTTACATATTGTATTGGAGGGTTCTTCTCAATAGAGAGCAACCTCCTTACGTACTGTGTGGCCTTGAACTGTGTATCAGGATCAGCAGCATTGCACCCTATCACTGCCTCCTGTAGCTCAGCAAGGTTAGGCATGCCCGACGACCCCGACTGTGCATCTAACGGTACCACTACTACCTTCATATGGTCCCCCTGTCACTACTACTAGTCAGCTGTGTGGCTTCCATGTCCATTCTACGCCTATGAGCCAACTGCTTCTCCTTCTCGGCCTTTCGGATCTGTACAGCCTCGTCCTCCCTTCGACGACGGGAGTCTTCGAAGTCTCCAGTCTACCAAAGAAGAGCTCCTCTCCAGCCACAACAACCCAGCCCTACTTTCTTATAGTTCTTCCGCCTAGCAGCTATTCGGTCTTCAATATTCGACATGGTTAATGCTCCTACTACTACACAACGCCTCAGAA